ATATGAAGCCACCAAATATACACGTAAACCCACGATCGTCGCGTGAGGGCGTTGTATAAGAGCAAATATGGCCGATCGAACTGCGATGGTTCAAATGCTGCGCTGTGCTGCGCGTTGGCAGCTGCGCACTAGGCACGTCACGCGTCACGCTCGCGTGTTTATACACCGACCGTGATTGTTCTTTCTGATATCTTCTAGAAATTCTACAATCCGGAGGGTACGACCTACGACGTCGACCCTTCGTGAGGCTCGAATGTTCTAGAATTCTTCAATTGCAATTATTTCTAACCCGTTTCAGCGAATTTTTACCATGCAATATGTATGCGCGACAAAAAAAATGATACGCGTCGAACGCTAAGAATAGCCATGTTACTGCGCTCTTTGTATCATGGCACACAATCGTAAAGTTCTGTACGTTTAATATAATGTATTTTTTATATATTAATTTTGTAACATTTTTTTATATGAGAGTTGATTTAAATAAGGTTTTATCGTATCCAATTTTAATCACACATTATTTGTTATACATGCGGAACGCATTTACATGCGTTCCACGCACCTAAGCTAACATGGCAACCAATCAACTTTCCGCTTGTTCCGGAAAGGACGATATGTAGAAAGAGGCGATTGGCTATCGCGTCCACTTCTTATTGTGCAGGATTGATTGGTTAATTTTTCTATGCGTTTGCATATTTCGTATCGTGCGAGTCTGTCTGGACGGACCTTAAAAGCCATTCGACAAACGGAAATTGCGCGAAACTCGGATTACCATTAATTCATGTATGTATATACATAGTTATTTTCAAAGAACTGGAAAGAATACGGGCAGTAGGAATCAAGCGCAGAAGACACGCAAATAATATATCTATGAAGTGTGAAACTTCTTTATTTGCGCGTCGTCTTCTGCGCTTGACCCCTACTGCCCGTATCCTTTCCAGTTCTTTGAATTATAAGAAATCTTAGTTTGATTTGTAATACGGATTTAGTTATTTTCATTTTTACCAATGTAGATTAGTTGTAATCAATTTAACTTTTTATGTTTTTTTAATTTTAAGAATTAAAAAAGATGAAGTGAATTAAATTAATATTAAAATTAATCTACATTGTGAAAATGGATATTAACTGCCCATTATTTTTTTTCGCAAAAAACTACTCATATTTCTAATTCTAATGTATCGTCGTGTCGAAAGATCATGCTTCGTGCACTCGATATTAATTTGTTGCAATATAGTGATCGAAATTACTATTACTGAATGAAATTATAAAAAAAAATAAAGCATATAGAAGCATACAATCGTTGCAGGTGTAAGTAAACTCTTCCACATAATTATATATTTCATGTATTTTCAAAATAATTTAATTATGGAATCATGTACAAGCTACATTAAAGCCATAACTAATGCAACAGTATAAAGAAAACAAAATCATTAACGATAGAAAGAAAGAGAGCTATATATACAAAAATTTGCACGTATACATATGTTAATCTACATTCAAGTTTAATACAATAAGGATATTTCATAGAGTATGTATAAAAATAGCAGTTTTAATATAGTTTTACAATATACTGTACTTCCTCATGCCTTGTATTACAAAATACCATGTGGTAACTTATTAGATGACAATTACACATATGTATATGCATGTATATATGCATGAATATATATATATATAATGTATAAAAAATTAACGAGATATAAAATTAATTTAGAGAAATTACAAATAAACATAGATCTTTTTTTTTGGAAGAACAGAAAACGTATAAAAACTCTAACATGTTAAATATTGTGTAATATAAGATATTTCTTATCTTTACATGATTGTAGATTCAATTTAAAGATTTTCTATTATTTTTCTATAATATATCAAAGTTAGTATTACAAACACGTGTTTTAAAATATGTCTTAAGTATCACGAGGAATCCGGCAGGATTTTTGCTGATCAATCAAATTTTTAATATCCACTTGTAAAATATAACCCATAAATATTGCCATTAAAATCGTCAATGTTATCGAAACTAGAAGCATATATTTTACAATAATGATTTCACTGTATATATTGTTATTGTGTTTTTCTAAATGGTTTATCTGCAAATTATTACAGTGCATTAGTATTTTTAGAAACATTTATTTTAATATGTACTTAAAAAATTAAGACTGCAATATTAGGTCACATACCTTAGAAGAAAATGCATCAATATGATCATTTCCTGCTGCTGCAGAAGTTAGCATAGAATAAGATTTTTGTGTCTCGCTATTTTCAGTAGCACCGTCGCAACATCGTAGTTTGTGCATTTCTGTTGCCTTTTCAGACTACAAAAAGACAATATTACTATGTGAAAACTTATCTAACAATATTTTAAATTTGAAGTCGTTGACATATTTTGATATCTCAACATAAAAACATATATATTAAATCAACATAAAATAAATTTACCTTCCAGAGTAAATTCAGTTCCTGCGTTGTAGTAGTATTTGTATTTTTTAAGGGGAAGCACATGACTAGAAATCGAACGTTGTTTAATAGGCCACGTATATTATAGCCAGATTGTAATACAACCATAACAGTTCTTTGTTCAGATGGTTGCAGAACTCCTGAACTTGGCCGTACTCTAAATTTCTCGGGTGATGTTGTCTTTATCTACAAAATTATCATACGAATGTTAAACTACATTTCTTAGTTATTATTATTATAATAATCAAATAATGTCTATGTACCTTATAAGATAAAGATTTATCAGTTGTAATATTCTTAAGTGTAATTGTCCCAGTGACATCATTTCCATCTTTATTAAATGTAATTACTTCCGTGGGCTCTATAGATAACACTGAAGCAAATATAATTTATTTAAATAATATTTATATACAGTATACTGTAGTGTGACGTAACAAATTTGTATGTAAATTTTATACGTACGTTGTTCTTCATTGACCTGGTCGCCAATACTAATCGGACTTTGCTCCGTAAGTGGTGAATTGTCTACAAAGTGTACCTAGAAAAAATACAGAATATATTTAAAGAAATAATATATTGGATATATAAAGATATTTTAACACTTATAAGTAATTCAATATACATCTTCTACGTATTCCATTTTGTTTAATACTTTCTTTTTCGGGATAATTAATTTGAAATAGAAATAATGTTGAAAACAAATCAATATAGTTAACAAAAGAATAACAGAAAAAAGAATATAGTGCAATAACAAAAAAGCACAATGAATTTGACACATCAAGTAAAAGCAATATCTTGGTCTTATTCATTTTACATATAGTTTCAGCAATGCCATAAGAAAATGTATGTAATATATACCTTTTTATTATCCAGTTTACCATTTAATACGCTATCTCCATTTGTTTGCTCTTCTGAGATAAATTTGAAGATGTAATCATTGTTACCTCCCCAACATTTCAGTGCATCGTTTGGATTGACATAATCTTTCAATGTGGTTTTGTTAACAAACTTAATTTTTGGAATAGCTTTTGCAGGTAACCATGATTTTATTATTTTAAAAGCTGCATTTAAAACCCAGGGCATTTCCAAAACTATAATATAGTTTAGAAAATTTGGATAATAAGATTTGAATAAACCAATGAGATACTTAATAAGCTCCATATCCATATTGGAAAGTCCAGCATCTACCATGTCAAAGAAAAGTGATATTTGATTTCCATTTTCTTCTCTGAAAGTACAATAAATAAAAAATTATATTCATAGATACAAGTTATATATTAATGTCTTTTATAATTCTTTGCATAAAAAAATAAGAAAACTAATAAGTATATAAATACCTTTCTAATCTTTCGAACCAATAAACTATACATCTCTGAAGCTCCGCAAAATCTTTTACTCCTTTAACATGCAACTTTGACTTAATTACAAAAAGTTTTTTGCCATCCTTATCCTTACTATAACTAAAGATTACGCCATCTTCTAAATAATCTCTTCTAACATTATCCTCCGTAATATCTGTAATTCGATTTAGAATGAAAGAAGAAAAAGAAAGACATTTTGTTTTACATTATTCTATTAACTTTAATTCTTTCAGTATTGAGTACTTTTCATTTCATGAATGAATAATTCAGTATTGAATACTTTTATTTAATTATTATTATTAAAGATGTTTACGATACTTACATACTTATCGAAAAAATTAAACTTAAGCTATATTCAAATTAAGATAGTAATTATGTATAGACTTATGTATAGACTTGTCCAAACAACTTTTATCAATTTTAATCTAAAATGTTAATATTTCATAGAGAATAATAAAAACTGAAAATGTCAAGCACATGATTCACAGGCATAGTTTTACCATTTGTTCCAAATTTTCTTCTCCAAGTACAAGTTTCCCAAAGCATGTTGAACGCATCCTGTTCGTTAAGCTCATGATGTTCCAAAAATCGTTTCAGCCAATCATCATTGTTTTTTATCCTGGCTATATCAGCAGCGTGGAAACCTCCTACAAATAATTATCAATCAAATCCAGATAGGAATAGATTCCAGATGAAAAAACAACTACAATTTTCTTTAGCATTTTATGATTTCCAGATGAGTAATTAATACAATAATAGGCAAGAGTTTTCAATCATCCATGCCTTTGTTAAAGTTAAGTAGACTGCTAATCATTTTTAATTGAATATACGATCGCGACTGAATACGACCTTTGCACATGTTACATGAGCATCATTATGGCACATCTCAATTAACGTTATAATATCAAAAATCATTTCATTGAAAAACAGAGAAGGACCTATAATATGTACATACTGGAATCGGGTGGTCCTTCCTCCTCCAATTTTTTGAAAAACTTCTCGCGAAGCTCCGCGATCACTTTCGTTGGTGTTTCCATCTTTCTTTGTCAGGCTAACGACCAGGAGAATGACACTTTGACCGGCGCCGAGAACCTACCATAGACGATAACCAGATGATAATTATTTATTCACACGCCTAGTCTGTGGCGTCTATACGTGTCGCGTCGCTCTGCGGAGCAAAATTCCCTTCTACATATGTCCAAAGTCTGTGCCCACCTCGAAATCCTCGAACCTCGACAGGTACAGTTCAATTTGTTCAACACACGTCATGCCTTGAAAGTGAGATGAGGATAATATCTTCGAGTCTCAAAGAGAAAAAGAGAGAAGTGACCCTGCATTAACTGCACAAACCGAACGTATTTTTCTTGACATCTCATGATAATCTAATCCATGATCTAATTAAGAGATAATTTACAAACAACGTCATCAAATTGATGGTATTCCATTTCCACAAAGTGTTAATTTAACGGATTGCAAAAATTAACTTTGCACGATTTAGTAAACTCGACTAACTTTCCACGCAATTTCTGCGTCATATAATGAGAAAGCAATAATTTATTATGATAATTATTGCTATCGTAATCGTATGTCTACAGCTAATATATAATCCCGAGTGTTATAGGCCGATATTCATACGTAGTCAGTTATATTTCATTTTAAGATTGTCTTAAATAATATCTTTAAATGTTAATACAGTTCTCTGATTATGACATTTCAAAATTGTAAAAGAAACTAATATCAGAGCCATAGTACAAATCTTTTCGTGACTCATGTCCATTTCCACTAATGTAGATTAATTTTAATCTCGATTCAACTTACTCTTCGTCTTTTTCTAGTTTTAAAGATTAGAAAAAAACAAAGAGTAAGTTGAACCGAGATTAAAGTTAATCTACATTGATGGAAATGGGCATCAATCAGCTGTGAAAAATGACCACATCTTATCATCAGCTGTTGTTACAGCTGAAGGTTATTGCAAATATTACCAATTTTATGCGAATCTCTATGACAATCTTTGAGAAATTATGACTCGATGCTACGTGATGTTTGATTAGAAAAACTAAATACGCCATCCTACTGAAAAAAAATCATGTCACAATGTTACATGATGAAATCATGTAATTAAAACATGTAAATTACGTAACAAACTATTCCAAAAGTATATGATTTTTTTAAATGACGTAATTTGAAAAATCACATGATATTAGAAATAATTTTATCCATCATATGATTTTATAGTTGTCAAATTTTAAAGAATTGAATAATAGAAATAGAAGAAAAAAGAACATATCATCATATGATTTTTCAAATTACGAAATTTAAAAAAAAAATGACGTACTGATTTGGAACAATTCGTTACATGATTTACGTATTTTAATCACATGATTTCATCATGCAACTGTGTGACGTGATTGTTTCAGTAAGGCAGGCATTGTCATATTTGTTATAACATGATCAACGTATGTGCAATCGCGAGTATTCTGTAATATTTATGCAATAATTTCTCTTGTTTCTTTCAGAGAATTTGAAACAATAACAATTTGCGACAAAACGAGTATGGATGACGAAACATTGAATAGGTAATTGTACGATTTCACCAAACATTGTTACATTTATGTAATGATTTACAATGTGTGATATGTATAGGAAAAATTCTCGTTTGGAATGTACAAACAACGACTGATTTTTATCCTTGCTTTTATTTGAGAAAATTGGACACATTATGAATAAACTTTTAAATATATTAAGTTATAAAAATAATATAAATTTTATTTGGATAGTAATGAATGTTTTGAAGTTTGCATGAACACTATTATTATATTTTAATTTTTCTAAAGAATCAGACTCTTGAGAAGCTAATAAGTGAGGTCATTTAACTGTATAAAAATTATATTGCCGATCTGCATTATGAGTGTTGTATATAAATAATAAACAACGTAATAAATAGAAATTTTTAAACACAAAAATATCGCGGGAATAAGAAATCACAAAAGTGCGATTTTATCTTTTGTTGTGCAATAGTTATTACGAAATATAAATATTTATTTAGACTAGCAGCAGAAGCTTTACTAGAAGAAGCCAGACTTGGTGCTCGAAGGGCTGAAATAATGGGTCCCAGTGGATGGGTGAAACCTAAAGAAACCGTTAACAAGAGATTTCTCCATTCAACGTTACGAAATGCAGTGATATCAAACAAGCACCGATCTCTGAAGCAAGAAAAAGTAAAAGTTCAACCACGTAAAGACACTGTTAAAAAGTCGTAATGTAATATTGTTTTTCGCGTATGTATTTATATATGTTTCTGGTATATATCTTTAACAATTTCTCATTTCTTGTTAAGAAAGAGGGGAAGAAATGTGCAAAAGATGTTTAAATATTGTTACTATATAAAGTAAACGACTGTAGTTGTTTTTATTTATTCTATGACAGTACATTCATGTTATAATTAAATATTACATATTTTTGTATGTAATAAAAAAGAATTCTATATGAATATATCAATAAACGATATAAAATGAATTACTGATCGATTATCAATATTGTACAAAAATATTTCGAATACTCTGCAATTTTCTTTCCTGCCAATATTCAAATATTTTACATATTTTGTTCTTGATTAGTAAGCATACTTTAGATCTTTCTAGCTGCCTTGTGCAAATTTCTAATTATAACTTTCATAAAAGTTCTACATATAATGAATGTCATACTTTATAGAATTAAAAGTCGAAATCTATTGTAATATTTCATTACTAATCTTTACAATCATTATCAGAACTTTTATTAAATGTATAAAGATGAAATTAAGTGTACAAATATTAGATATTCCTATCTCATCATTTTGCATTTCACATCTTTCTCGCGCTTAAATATTGCAATAATATTAATTATAACACCACTGTGAATAATAACAAGATTTAAAAGCACCAATATCTTTAAATATATCTGTAACAAATATCTGCGGTAGGAGAATGTAATCATACACTTCTCTTCTAAGTATAAAATTGCTTACAGTTAATAATTACTTACAGTTAAAACATTTTGCATTGATAAGTTGCACATATTATATGGCATCGCTTAGATGTTTGCTTAAAAAAAAAGTCAGTAATCACATGTTTATAGTTGCACATCTCTATCTCATCAGATTAAAGTGATAAGATTCTAATACAGATCGAGATGTCTCCCTATATTAAGATACAGGCAATACTTGTCTATTATTCATATATATTTATAGAGAAAAAAAATAATTTCTTATATGCGTAAATTGCATTGCATACAAATCACTCCTTGATGTTTCAATGATAGGATTAATAATTATAATAGGATATATATATGTATGATGAAATTAAACTGCTTCGATATTTGTAATGATATACAATGATGTGATAGTGTGTACTTAATTGGTAAATTTTTCAAAATTTAGTTGTTAACATGTAAAATTTTTAACTTTAATAACATATTTTGTCAC